TAATAAAATAGACTAAATCTTCCCAACTGGTGTGTGTGCTGCATCTCGCGAAATACGGATGTAGAATCCATGATGCTAAATTTCGAGATGCAGATAAGTCACTGCAGTTAATCGAGTCCTTACATAGTGCTTCTACTAGATGTCTGATTGTAATGGATTTAGGCTTGTAATGAACAAAAAGCTATCTTCCACGTGCTTTCGTTTGGTACCATTCGATTCGTAAATCGGGCTTATATCCATTCTGCGTCTGGGTATCACTGGATTTTTAAACGGGATTAACCGGTCCTCGAAATTCAGTGAAAATTAGCAGCTCAGCGTGTTTTCAGATGCCCCGAAATGTTGCAGGACACGACGATATCTGTTTATTACTGCCATAAACACAACCAAGACTGCCGGCCACTTCCGCTGCGGTACTCTTAAAATTAGTGAAAGCAGTGCCTCAAGATAAATGTCGCGAACTGAGTTTATTTTTACAAAAGATGTGACCTGGAAGAGAACTGAACCTCTCTTTTTACTGTATCCGGGCCTTTCAAATAGCGACGTGTTATCCATTACATTACCGGCCCTTGTGCTCCATGTGTTAAGCAACTGAAACCTATATCTGTAGGCATACCTCTTACGTACGTGCCACTTCACAGCGTCTAATGCTACTAGCGTATACGGGCTTTTTCAATTCTAGCTAGTTTTCTCGAGCAGCCGCAGCAACAACTAGGTGAAACTCAACTCCTATTGAACTTCGGGCTAAGCATATCTCATCGTAGTGTGAAAAATGGGAACAATTCCGGAGAGGCAGCTTCTATGATTCAGGAAAAAACAGTGTCAGCCTGCATCCGCCTTAACTTAAACGTTTACTTTAATCACTAGGCGTAATCGAACATAGAGTAATAAAGTGAGCGTTGTTGTGTGACAGTAAAAACAATGAAGCATCGCTATCGAATTTATTGGGCGAACAATTTTTTAATTATTTTCTTCCTGTTGTGAATAGATCTGCTTAATTGTATTCCAGTTCTGTGTGATCACTGGTTCAGC